TCTCTTGCAAACATTATTCAAAAACAAATGTGTTCCCATGGAAAACGTTTGGAGGAAACTCATTTGTGTGGTTCTGTTTCGCCCCGTTACTAGTATGCACAGGTTTCAGTGCTCAGTAAGTATTTATCGATGGCTCGATGGAAGGCAATTGCTGGTTTCTGACAGACTTAACTTCTTGGAGGAGAAGCCAAACAGCTGTATCTCCCTTCCCCCGCGTGTTCACCCAGTGATTGTGAGCAGGGCTGTCCTTCTGTTAATTTCCCAGGGACCACTGCAGACCGGGCACTGGGGACACTGCTCTACGCCCCAATTCTGCCCTCAAAGGGCTCGACATACAGTGAGGAATGGGTGAACCAGTAGTCACAGGGCATGCGGCAGGTGCCGTGAGGAAGGTGGACACAGGGAGGGGATGAAGGCGGGCACAGGAAAATGATGGAGGCGGGCACAGGGAGGGGATGGAGGCGGGCACAGTGAGGGGATGGAGGCGGGCACAGGGAGGGGATGGAGGCGGGCATAGGGAGGGGATGAATGTGGGCACAGGGAGGTGATGAAGACTGTCTACCATGCAAAGACAGCCTCCATGGCCTTCAGCTTCTGGCCTGGAGTTCTGAGAGAGATGTTAGTTTGCCAGGCTTTATTTTTGTGAGATGATGATGATGATGCTGATGCTGCTGATGGCTTTACTTCTGGAGAGGGGCAGGGATGCCAGGAGCAGGCAGGTGTGTGTCTGGCGCACGCCTGTATTTTCTCGTGCCCCCTGCTTCGGGCCTCTGCTGAGCTCAGGTGGCGTGTGTAGGGCAGACTGGCCCGTCTTTCTAGCCTCTGGGCAGAGGCAGCGTAGGGCACGGTCCCTCCCCAGGGACTCTGGTGCTGGCAGCTGTGCTCAGCTCCGCTGCCAGGGTCCTCCCCTGGGCAGCGCAGTGTTGGCTCTGGCCCGCGGCACCTGCCCTGAGGCACAGGCCCCGAGGGAGCCGGGGGGCAGGAAGCTTCCTGCCGGCAGCCGGGTAACGAGGGCGGCCGGGGCTGGGAGAGCCACCGCACACACACCTGCGGGAGGGCGTCCACGCGCCGCTGCCTCCAGCTGGCTCAGCACCCTGATGGGCACCCGGCGCCCGTTGGCCCAGGCCCTCCCTCTGCCACCCGGAACGGGTCACGGATAACTTGTATTCGCTGCTGCCAAAGGGCCTCTGCCGTGTCTGTCAGGCAAACTGAAAAGTAATTAGAGTTTTATTCTCTCCCGTGTTTAAGCAGAAAGATGGAGGCCTTCACATGGCGGTGCCCAAGTGAGGGAGGAATGATTCTACTCCGCTGGGCCCTCGGATGGAGGGCGCCTGCACTTTGGGCTCCGGGGGGGAGACCAGTGGGCCTCACGGTGCTCCCTTTGCCTCCGAGCCTGCTGCGCCCGCAGAGCCAGTGTCCGGTGGCAGCTACCCAGCCAGCCCCAGCTTCATCGCACCCGACACATCCCCTCTTCGGACGCCCAGAGATCAGCCTTCCCAGGGAGTCCCGTGGATATATTTGTGAAGGGAATGAGCGGATTCATGTTGAGTTAGTCTGTCCCCTTCAGTTTAATTCAGCCCATTTCCTTCCTTGTCCCTCATCCTCAGGGGTCAGTATTTGGCTCAATAAGTCCTGAGAAATATTCCCAAAATCACGATGTGATGTTTCTCTGGGGCTGAGAGCCTTGCAGGTGCCCTGCTTCTGCCGCCTTCTGGCCTTGGCCTGTCCTACCCGCCCCAGGCCTCTGGGTCCACTGGGGCTGGGCGCGCACTGGGCTGTGGGGAGCATGGCCGCCGTGGGCCGTAGACGCAAACGTGCTCCCCAGACCTGTAGGCCCGGATCAGAGCCATGGGAATGGAAGTGAGTCCGCCCTTTGGAGCGAGGAGCCCGCCTCGCCGTCCAGGGGGTGACTCTGGACGTGGAATCCCCCAGGAGGTGGTGGTGGCTTCAGCCCAAGGCGACAACACTGCCTGGTCTTAGAGGACAGATTCTGAGGGGCTCAGGAGGGCCAGGGATCTGGTGGGTGTTGGATGCGGGGATGAGAGCGAGGCAGTGCCTGGGTCACTCCAAGAGTTAGGGCTGGTGGCTGGGCAGAGGGTAGGGCCGTCACGGAAACAGGAAGCAGAAAGGAGGGGAACAGACGACTCAGGGGGAGCCCAGTGAGCTGGAGCTGCCTGGGGGGCAGTCTCGTGAAGAGTCAGTAGCACGCAAAGTGGCCTTCCTCTCCATCTGAGTCTCCACAGACTTTCCCGTGGCCTCAGGTCCCTCAGCACCCAGCCCCGACAGGCGACGTGGGAAAAGGGAGAGAGAGGGCCCCCGCAGTGCCCGGGAGCCGCACCGTGTGCCCAGTGAGCGTGTGCGCGGTGGGTGCCCATCCCGCAGAGCAGTGCACCCATCTTTCCTCGAAATGCACTCTGAACCCAGGGAACCGGGTGTGCTGCGTGTTGACGTCTGAGAGGGCAGGTTCCGTGTGCCCCGTACTGTGCAGGCTGCTGTGCTTCAGTCTCTCCGTGGTTTCTAACCTCCTACGATGGGTGCTTGTCTTTTGAATTCTGGCCCAACTGCTTCCTGCCTGGACGGTTCAGACCTCTGCTGACCTGTCCTGGATCGCTGAGTCTTTAGTGCGTTCCCGTCTCCCCAGTTAGAGGGCCATGCTGGGTCCGCAGCGAGCCCGCCAGGGCCGCCGATGGCTGTCGGCCGCGTTTCCTTGCGGCGCCCTTGGTGTTTGGGAGCTGTTCTCCGCTCGCTTGGAAGCAATTAGTTTTGAGAAAGCTGATTCTTCAGGGTCCAGTGCTCGCCTGCCTTTCATTTGCTGGGGCCGCTGCACATTTTAATGAAGTTGTTTCATCTCGGTTGCCAAACACTAGGTTTCTGCTGCTTCAATTCTAATTATCTGTGCTGGCAAATGCTATGTTTTATTAGAACCCGCGAGGGCTCCGTTTGTTCAATGTCCATACGCTGTGGCGTCAGGCACACAAACTAGGTCAGATGTGCTTGTCGCCGGGTTACGGATGGGAGAGTTACACATTCTCCCCGTGGGACGGCCTTCAGCGGCGACGTGGGATGTCGGGGAGGCCTCGTCCCACGAGCCCAGCGTCCTTCGGCGCCAGCAGCCGGCCTTGACTCCTAAGCGTCTGAGTGACCGGCTGTCCGTGACAGCTCTCGGATGTGTTTTCGTTCTTTGGGGTGACATGCTCATTCTTTCCTTTCCGGCAGTTGCCTGACACTTGCATCTTGCTTCCCGGGTTGTATGTCAGTGGCTGCAGTAGGAAAGGAACCACCTCGCCCAGTCTGGCTACCAGCTTATCGATCTCTCCTTTATTCTCTGCACCAAGCCTTCGGTCCTGAGTGCCCCCAGCCTCGAGGGGAGGAGAGGCTTTAACCAGGGCGTGCCTGACCCGCAGGCCCCTCGGAGCCTGGGCAGGGGCTGGCAGAGCCTTCGGTCTGCGGGGCTCCGGGACCCCCAGGCCAGGAGCATCGGACCCGGTTGGCTGGGACACGCTCCTGGGTTCTCAGGGTGATGCCCGTCTGGAAAGTGGGCTTTTGTACAAAAGGAAATGCCTGTGTCAGTGGCTCTCACCCTGAGAGTGTGAGGGAACAGGAAGTGGGCTTCCCACGAGCCAAAGACACTGCCCAGAGCGGCGTGGCAAAGGCTCGTGTGGCCATGAAAGGTGCGCACCGGGCTCTGCCTCCGGCGGGACTGACCTGCACTTGCTCACAGACCGGTCTTTGAACGGGGAGCGGTACGAGCCGTTTCACTGCATGGGACAAAAAGGAAAGATTTATTAGCTCCTCATCACAAAAACAGGTCTCCTGCGTAACATTAGTTACTTTGTCATGAGTAAAACTTGTCGCGTCCAGTTGGCGCTTATTAATCACCCCCTCCTTCCAGCTAACTGTAGGAATAATGAGATGAAATTAGTGGCAGACCATCGCTCCCACATGAATCTTTGTAAGCTGGAGTCAGCAAAACAGTCCACTTCTAAGCGCGTGTGTATAAAGAATGTTAGGAATCTCCAGGCTTCGGTACTCGGAGGGCAAACTCCTTGTCTTGTATCAACAAAGACCTGGCAGGTGAGCCTCCGGAACTCACGTGGCGGTCCACAGGGCGGTGCACGTGTGACGGGGCAGCTTCGGAGCCAGGTGCAGGGTGGGTACTTCTGTCAGACTTGGAACCCCGTGTCCCTCAAGGACTCCGGCCTCTCCTCCGCACATCGTCACTCTGCAATTCGGGTTATTGGAGGCTTTTCCACCTGGAGCATGACCGGTCACCAGGGCAGAAGGAAAGAGGGATGACAAAGCCTACCCTGGCCCTTAAAGCTTCTGCCCAAAGGATTTAATTGGCCAAAGCAGGTGTCCTGATCAACTCTAATCACAAGTGGGCAGGGATGTAACCTCCCAGGAGGAAGAGGTGGCAATTTGTATACATTTGTAATGACTAACTCAAAGCCAAACATGTGGACGATCATTAAAATGGAAAGGTGGTTCCTTGAAAGACCAATGAAATAAGACAAAGCTTTGGTGAGTCTGATCCACAAGAAAGGGGGAGGAGACAGTGTACAAGGTGATGCAGAAGATTCAGGTCACAGAAGATCCATGAAGATGTAAAAAAATGCTGTGCACAATTTTATCATACGTGCAGAAGTATTTCTCAACTGATCTCAAAACATCTTTCAGGCCTGGTCTTCTCAGTCCCCAGTGCTTGATGTCTGTCCCTCTGACTCCTTTGTCCCCGTCTAAGCACAGAGGGCTGTGTGGTTGTCCAGTGCAGGCAGGGGGCTGCGTGCAGCTGGTGCTCCACGTGGTTCAGGCTGCCTCCCAGTTCACTAACTCACCCGGGGGCGTGCCCTAGTGCGAGTGCACCTGCTTCCCGGCAGCTCAGAGGTCCTCATGGCACCTTGTGCGAAGAATGAGGGGATGGAGGGCATTTGCTCATTTGTCTCTCTCATGATGTGATTGTATTTCCGTGTAGTTATGATGCAAACTGTCATCTCTTGCAGGCCCACCAGGAGAACATTCTGGGTAACACCATGCAAAGTGTGATTGCATTGCTCCACAATCTGGTTGCCTGCAAAGATTCGAACATGCAGCTGCTTTATGAACACGGTAAGTGCTTCTTAGAATTCGCTTAGATTCTGTTGAGTTTTGCCTGTTTGTAAGTTTTCTCATCTTACATAGTAGGGAGTCATGAAGTACTATTTAAAGTTGATCAGTCAGCCCAGCTGGTGTTGCTCAGTGGTTGAATGTCCACCGGTGACCTAAGAGTTCACCAGTTCAATTCCTGGTCAGGGCACACGCCCAGTTGTGGGCTCAATCCGCATTGGGGAGCATTCAGGAGGCAGACAATTGGTGTTTTTCTCACTATCCCTCTCCCTCCCTCTCTCTCTAAAGTAAATAAAAACATAATTAAAAAAAAATAAAGTTTATCCGTCAAAATAGATATTTAATGTCCTATAAATAATATTACGAGCTATAAGGAAAAGTGTGTTAAGATTGTGATAGCTTCTCTACATTAATTTATTTTCTACCTAACACACAGTAAATAGCATTGCTTAAAGATGATAATTCCCCCCTCCTCCCAATAAAAACCAAACAAACCACAAATGCAAGTGTAAGCAAAGTATTTATACATATTGCTGTCAGGCAAAATAAAAACGTATATGGTCCAAAGCACCTCATAAAATGAGACTGAATGGGTCGAGTGTGAGTTTACTTTGCCTCATACATATCTGTACAATTGAAGACAATTTTTAAGACTATATTTTAAGGACAGTTTTAGGTTTAATACAAAGTTGAGGGGGAAGAAACAGAGATTTTCTATATAATCCCTACCTGTTCACAGATAGAGGATGTGTTGGTATTGCCTCAGCCTATTTTTCTGGTTAAGGAAGTACTCATCTATTTTAATTTTATCTTTTGAAAGCAAGAATAAATACTTTTGGCTTCTATGGAAATAATCAAATGATTTTTCCTTGGATCTATTTATGTAATGAGTTATATTTAATAGATTATGTTGTGTTAAACCATCAGAGCACTTGAGTCAGTAACCACACTTGACTGTGATATATTATTCTTTAATTGTGCTACTTAAGTTTTTGCTAATTTTGTTTTCAGGGTTTCCCATTGTCATGGATAAGTGCGATTGGCCAGTGGTTTTGTTTCTTGTTTATTTTTAATAGCATGCATTCTTTTGGTGTTAACACTAAATTGCATATCCTATATAATAAAAGGCTAATATGCAAATCGACCGAATGATGGAATGACCGGCCACTATGATGCTCACTGACCACCAGGGGGCAGGTACTCAACACAGGAGCTGCCGCCTGGTGGTCATTGTGCTTCCACAGGGGGAGCACTGCTCAGCCAGAAGCCGGGCTTATGGCTGGCGAGTGTGACCAGGGTGGGAGGAACCTCTCCTGCCTCCACAGCAGTCAGACAACCCCCGGGGGCTCCCAGACTGTGAGAGGACGCAGGCTGGGCTGAGGACTTTCCCCCCGAGTGCACGAATTTTGTGCACTGGGCCTTTGGTTTACAATAAAAGGAAGTTTTCCCTCTTTCTTTGATTCTGTAACAATTCAAGAATCAATTAAATGATCTATTCCTTAAAAGTTTAGTGGAATTCCCTGTGGCTTCTGCTGTTTCTAGGAGGTATATTAATAGTGGTAGCTCTTTAACACCTTTCTCCATTTCTACAAAGGTAATTACTCCTTTTACATCTTTCCATCTCTTATTAAGTTTTAGGAAATTAAGTTTTCCTATAAAGCTTTTATTTCATACACACTTTCAAAGTGGTGTGGACAAAGTAGGTGTTCACAATTGTTCTATTTTTCTTGGCTTCAGAAATTATCTCCCTGTTACTGTTTTTTTTTAATATTATTTATTTGCAGTTTTGAGTTATTAGTGAGTATTTAAGATTATGATCATTTAATTTTATTAGACCGGTTTGGAATTTAGTTGTTTGTCCTTCTTTAAAAAAAAATAAAAAATCAATTTCTGCTTTTATCTCTTAATTCATTCCTGCTTTTGTTGAGTTTGTTTTACACATTTTTTCTAAAATTTTGAGTAAAGATGCTTACTTTGTGTATCTCTATACCAATTCATTCTACTTACATATATTTTTTATGTATATAGAAAAGCAATATGTGAAAAAAAAAAAAACTGTGTCAAAGTCAGTCTCAAAGAGCATCCTGCCTTGAGTGTAAGATGAAATTCTAACAGGTGAAGCGTGGAACAGTGTCATTGGCAGCACTTTTTCTTCGTTGGTGGGACATACAGTCTGATACTTGGATTAGAGAGGACTGGTAGTAACATACTCAAGGACCTCAGTGTCACATGCCACTCAATAGGGCGGCCACCAAGGACACAAACTCTGATAAGCAGTCATTGACCGTCACCAGCACACAACTGCATTGTGTAATTCAGGCTTTTTATGTTAAAGTGATCAATTTTTACTGAGCCATTCAGGGGAAGAGTGATAAAACAAAGAAAGACCTTTTGCTTACATTTGAAAATATTAGCGTTATTAACATTCACAAGGGGCTCTGGCTGGTTGCCGAGCACTGACCTTTGAGTGATGGGTGTTAGTCCCAGCTTCAGTGTTCCCAGCAGAGCCGTCAAGATAACCGATTCCCACAGCACACAGCATGCACATCCTGCCAAAGAAGCATTGAAAGCACTGTCTCCACCGGTGTATGGTGAGTCAGAAATCAACATACTCATTCCTTACAAGGTTTATTACAAACCTGCCTACATCGGTGTTTTCTCAAGAGACCAGAAAGTCAGTCTGATAGCTGTTTGGCTTTGAAGTGTACCGATAGCTACCTTAGATCTTTCACTCCTGTGGAACATTCCAGCTCATGTTAAACAGGAGGGGTTGGCTGACCTTTCCTGTAAGAGACCAGGCAGGCCACATGGTCTTCATACTACTCAATACTACCAGTACCACAGGAAAGCAGAAGCTGAGAAGCCAGGTTTGCAAAAGACCATCCGGACATAACCGGAAGTGTCACAGGGAAGTGATGGATCGGCTTCAGGAAGTCAGACGGAACAACCCTCCTCAGGGCACCAGCTGTGGTGCTGGGTAAAGCCGATTCCACATTTCTAGGTAACAGTGCTATATTACAGATGGCCCAGTACTCATCGCAGCTCCTTGCGCCAAAGTGGAACCTCTTTCTTACCCCGTGAACCACGGCGGCTTAGTGATTTCCTTCAACCAGAATGTGATGGGAATGGCGTGAGATTTCCAAGCCCGGACAGCAAGGGGCCTTGCAGCTTCGTGCAAACTCGTGAATGCTGCCGCCACCCGGTGAAAAAGTCTGAGCCATGGCTGGTGGGTGCTCTCATGGAAGAGGCCTGAAAAAATTGAACAGATATAATACTTTTAAACAGGCTAGAAGAAAATGCTCCATAGGTAAATATGCAGATTTAAAAGGTGCATTGTGTCCTGGGGGTAGGGGGGGAGATAATGATACAAAGTGTCATATTCTGGTGACAGTATTAGGCATCAAGAACAGAGAAAGGCAGAAACCGGTGTGGCTCAGAGCGTCCGCCTTCGGACTGAAAGATAGAGCGTCGGCCTTCAGACTGAAAGATCCCGGGTTCGATTCTGGTCAAGGGCATGTACATTGGTTGCAGGCACGTCCCCGGTAGGGGGTGTGCAAGAGGCAGCTGGTCGATGTTTCTCTCTCATTGACATTTCTGGCTTTCTATCCCTCTCTCCTCCTCTCTGTAAGAAATCAATAAAATATATATTTTTTAAAAAACACAAACAAGCAAAAAACAGAGAAAGGCTGAAATCGGTTTGGCTCAGTGGATAGAGTGTTAGACTGCAGACTGAAAGGTTCTGGGTTTGATTCTGATCAAGGGCATGTACCTTGATTGCGGGCACATCCCAGTAGGGGGTGTGCAAGAGGCAACTGATCGATGATTCTCTCTCATCGATGTTTCTCTCTCATCGATGTTTCTAACTCTTTATCCCTCTCTCTTCCTCTCTGTAAAAAAAAAAAAAAAATCAAGTGAGGTGAGACCTTACGGGGTTTTGATTTTCATTTTCCTAATGGCTAATGATGTTGAGCATCTTTTCATGGGTTTATTGGCTGTTTGTAATATCTTCTTTGACAAATGGTCTATTCAGATTGGGTTGTCTTTTTAGTACGCTAGAAATTCTTTTGCTTGAATTTTAAAAGATTTCAAGTATTTTCATTGCATTGCTCTCTGCTAGGCATTTCAGAGATGATTTGTGGGGGATGACCTTGGAATGGGAGAATATTGGCGTAGGAGATAAAAGAACTCTTATTATTTTTTACACAGCACCCACCAGAACGGTCATTTTAGGGTGCCAATCTCCACCTGTCACTCCCTGTGCCAGCCGTACCCTGCTTTTCGGAGCAGGGCTGGAATCGTTAACGGCACAGTCCTGACTTCCCCTGCTGCCTGTCAGGCACTGTTCCCGGTGCTGTCCGGGCATGGCCAGGTTCAGTTTCTGTGATGCACCCGCTTCCTTCTCCCCCGCACCTTCCCACGAACCCGTCCCCATCCTGTTCAACTCCCTGCTTCCTCCTGAGCTCGGCTCAAACTCCCTTTTCTCCAGGAAGCCCTTCTTGAAACCCCACATTCTCTTTCCTTGCACTTATCACGGTTGTCATTAAAACAGGAATGATGTCCCGATGGACTCGCCTCCTGAGTTTTCTGTGGAAATACTCACAGGCCCCCAGATTCTTCCAGAGCGGCAGGTGTAGAATTAGCTCTGCAGGTCGCAGGGCTGACTAGCTTTGGAGAGTGTGGGGCTCTGCAGTCTCCCTGGGGGAGGGGACAGTCTTCCTCCTCAGTTCCGCCTGCCAGAGCCTCACGCATTCATTGCTGTGTTCTTGGGCAGGTGTTTTCCTTGCATCCCCACATCTTGTTGCCCAGATCTTGGAAGCAATTATCTTTTAATCTATAGGCTCAATAAACATGCCAGTGTCTAAAAAAGAAGTCATTGATTGATTGATGATATTCATGCCATCTGCTGGAAGGAGAGCCCCATGAACACAAGAGCCTGCCCATCCATTCACTGTTGACCTTCCTGTCCCTGCCCCCTCCGCACAGTTCCTGGCGCTCAGCGGTTG